ATCTGGGGCATCTTTGAGGCCACGAAGTGTCGATTTGGAATCTTCGGAGGCACCGGGGCGGGGGGTGCGTTCGCGAGCTGCCCCCCACCCTTCCCCCCTCCTCCTCCTCCTTCTTCTCCTCCTCCTCCTCCTCCTCCTCCTCCTCCTCCTCCTCCTCCTCCTCCTCCTCCTCCTCCTCCCTCCTCCTCCTCCTCCTCCTCCTCCCTCCTCCTCCTCCTCCTCCTCTTCTCCTCCAGCCCCCTCCCCATTCCTCTCTCATGCGGTTTCAGCACCCTGGGGGGGGGGGGGGGCGGCCAGCGGCGTTCCCGGCTTGCCCAGCGGTGTTCCGTCTCCCGTCACGGTGCCACCATCGTTCGGTGTGTGCTGTTGTCGGTCAGAAAGGTTTGCTTGACGATCTGATCTGCTAGACCACCTGTGCTCGGAGGGATGCTGGGACTGTGGCCAGGGCCTCCTACAGGGGTGGCCGATGTGATGAGTTGCAGCGGTGCAGCGGGCTGGGGGTAAGGAGGCAAGAGCCCCCCCCACTGCGAACCTTGTAGAGGCTTCTTTTTCAAGGGTGGGTTATCTGAAGCAAGGGGCGCGTCTCGTAAGTCATGAGGCGGTTGGTGGGAACAGCTGTCCATCTGTGTTTCTTCGGGCGTGGGTGGGTGAGGTGCGCGAAGCACTCGGATAGTCAGTGTGGTGGACTGCTGATCGGAGGTGGGCGTGCTGTGCGGGCTGGGCATGCGTACCATGCGGTGTCTGCGCCCCTGCTCTTCACGGGAGCAGGGCCGCGCTCCCGACAGACCTACCCCGCGCCGCACACTGCTCTGCCCACTCGGGGCCGACGCACTGCTCACCGGCGGCCAGCTGGGGGAGGAGGAGGCGGAGGATGGGGGAGGCGGAGGGGGAGGAGGACGAGGAGGAGAAGGAGGAGGAGGAGAAGGAGGAGGAGGGAGAGGAGGAGGGAGGAGGAGAGAGGAGGAGGAGGACGGGAAGAGGAGGAGGAGGAGGAGGGGGGGAGGACGAGGAGGAGGAGGAGGAGGAGGAGAGGAGGAGGAGGAGGAGGAGGAGGAGGACGCTCCTGCGGCCCATGACCGTTGCGGCTCGAGCAGCTCCTCGACACAAAGGCCCAGCAGCGCGCTGGCTGCGATACCCGAATAATCGCGCAGCCGGGTCGGACGACAGGGGGGGTCCTCCTCCCCCTCCCCCCTCCTCCTCCCCCTCCTCCTCCTCCTCCTCCTCCTCCTCCTCCTCCCCCTCCTCCTCCTCCTCCCCTCCTCCTCCTCCTCCTCCTCCTCCTCCTCCTCCTCCTCCCCTCCTCCTCTCCTCCTCCTCCTCCTCCTCTCCTCTCCTCCTCCTCCTCCTCCTCCTCCTCCTCTCCTCCTCCTCCTCCTCCTCCTCTTCCCGTCCTCCTCCTCCTCCTCCCTCCTCCTCCTCCTCCTCCTCCTCCGGATCGGGAAAAAGGGGGGTGGGGCTTCGTGGGCCCCGGGAACGGCAGGGCCGTTTTTTTTCACCGTGAGCGAAAAACGTGTCCCTTGAAAATGGAAGCGGCAAAAAGACGGCGACCGGAAACGGCAACAAAACGGCTCCAGGATTGGAGCCGGAACCGGAACCGGTCAAGAAATGGCGACGGAACCGGCAACAAAAACAGCGTCGGAACCGGGAAAGAAAACGGCAAAACGGGACCGGTAAAAAAACGGCCCTGTCGTTTCCAGGGCCCACTGAGGGGTGGGGGTGCGACATCTGGTTTCGGCTCCGTCCCCAGGCGCTCTCCTCGATGCACCTGTGCCCCCGGCGCAGAGGGGCGCCGCCCAACTCGCTAACCCCCCCTTTGCTGTCCCTTCTCTCCCTCCTCCTCTCTCCTCCTCCTCTCTCCTCCTCCTCTCTCCTCCTCCTCTCTCCTCCTCCTCCTCTCTCCTCCTCCTCCTCCTCCTCCTCCTCCTCCTCCTCCTCCACCTCCTCCACCTCCTCCTCCCCCCCGAATTCACCCCTTTTCGTCCGCCCCGAGACCCAGACATCCTTCGACATCCCTTTCTCGATCCGCGGCGCCAGAGCCTTCGACCCCTCGTCACGGATCCGCTTTGATGGCCCAGGCTCCAAACACGCCCTCCCCTGCCCCCCCTCCCCTCCCTGGCCTGCCCTGCGCCTTCCGCGCAGGGCGCACCCCCGGGGCAACGATGCCCTCCCTGGCCTCGTCCCGCGGACCTCCGAGCTCCGAGCTCCGGGCCGAAGAGAGGGGGGGAACCACGCAGCGCTCGGGCCCCTCGTGCCGTCGGATGTCTGGGGACCGACGCCGCCGGCGATGCACCGCAGCCTCCGGGGCCGGGGGCGGCCGCACGCCCGGCGCGGGCCCGACGCGGCGGGCGCCGCCGGAGGGGGCGCCCCCCACGCCTGGCGCGCGGAGGCCCACGGGCTGCCGCCCGGCCGGCTGCTGTCCTCGCTCTGCCGCTGGGCTCCCAAGCAGGCGCCGCCCCGGGGCCCAGCCACGCGCCGCCCGGAGGGAGTCGAGGCGGCGTTTTTTCTCGTCGGCGCCGGCCTCGGAGGGTCCTCGCCGGGGCACCCGGGGCCGGCGGAGCAGAGGCTCAGAGCGCAGAGTGGGGGGAAGGGGTGGGCTTCTGGGGAGCCAGTGCGGACGAAGTCAAGACATCGGATGTCTGAGAACCCGGGTGAATTGCTCCGGGGCTTTCCATAGCGCTCTGGAACGGCCGCGGAGCCCGATATACTTTCCAGAGCCGCTGGATCTCAGAGATCCCGATTTCCGTTGCGTGATATCTGGCCCCGAACCACACCTCCGGGTCGGCTTTGGAGGTCGCCGCGGCCATCTCGGCGGCCACAGATCGGGGCAAGGTTTTTGTCTAGGAGTGGTTTGCCTCTTCCCCGCTCTGCGATATGGACGTGGTTCATAACTAACCACACAGCGACAGAGACAGTGGTCAATTTATGGTTTATGCCTAACATGGGCAGTCCTGTTTTTCTTTGCGTAGGGGTCGATGGTCGCGTAACCGGATCTGTCCCCGTCTCGTTCTGTCCCGGTCCTCGCTTCGTCTCAGGCTGCCGCGGCAGTGCGCGCCAGTCGTGGGGCACGCGCATGCCGCCCGCCTGCGCCTCCGAGGCCCTCATGCACGCCGGAGCTGGCGCTCCCAGCAGCGCCGCGCGGTGGCCGCCACGGGCAGGGAGAGGCACCGCCGCGGCCGCGCTGCTGGCCCCACCCGCTGCCGCCAGAGCCGCCACCGCCCGAGCCGCTGCTGCCGCCCTCCGTGCACCGGCAGCAGCTGGCGCTGCAGCAGCAGCTTCGGCAGCTGCAGCAGTGGCTGCGGCAGCAGCAGCAGCAGCAGCAGCAGCAGCAGCAGCAGCAGCAGCAGCAGCGGCAGCAGCAGCAGCAGCAGCAGCAGCAGCAGCAGCAGCAGCAGCAGCAGCAGCAGCAGCAGCAGCAGTGGCGCGGCCTGGCGCCGCCTGGAGCAGGCGGGGCGAGGAGGGGGAAGCGTCAGCGCAGCATGCGCCGGGAGGCGTGGCCGGGCGACAGGGCAGGCTGGGAGCAGGGCGGGGGCAGCATGCTGGGAGCGGGCTGGGAGTGGGCCGGGCTTCCCTGCGGAGGTAGATATCCTGAGCTTGCCTCCCACGTGCACGCGCCGACGGCGGCGCGCTGGGCTAGTCAAGCAGCCTGGCCTGGCCAGGCGACGAGCGAGATCCCCGTCGCCGACGACCGCATGCAGAGGGTGGCGCGCCGGCCGCGTCGGGAGGCGTGGCCTAGCTGGGCGCCAGATGAGTTTCTGGGCAGCGGCAGTGTCATTGAGCCTGCCACCCATGAGCGTGTGCCTACGCCGTCGCGCCGGCAGCGTGCCGAGGCGTGGTTTGGCCGGGCTCCAGCTCCGGACGAGCTCTCAAGGCTTGCCGACGACGATCTTCTGCAGAGGCCGACGCGCGGGCCGCGTCGGGAGGCGTCGCCTGGCTGGGCGCCAGACGAGCCTAATGACAGTGGCAACGCCCCAGAGCCTGCCGCCGACGACCGCGTGCCTACCTCGAGAACAGATGCCAGCGCACGAGGAGCAGCAGCAGGAGGAGGAGGAGGAGGAGGAGGAGGAGGAGGAGGAGGAGGAGGAGGAGGAGGAGGAGGACATGGACACGGACATGGACATGGACATGGACATGGAGAGTCGAGCCGAGTGCCCCTGGTCACCTTCTCGAAGGCAGCCTCGCTGGTCTGCCACGGCGGCGCCTGGGCGGTGGCGAAGGCGGCGCCGACGCGCCAGCGGTCGCGGCAGCGCGGGGCCGGCGGCGCCGAGGGCCTGGCCGACGTGCGGCACGGCGGCGCCACCCCGGCCCCCGCTGCCCAGGAGCCCGAGGGCGGCGGGCGGGCCACTGGCACGCCTTGCCCGCCGACCGCCGAGCGCCCCCCTGCAGGCCACGGGCCGCGCGCTGGGGCGCCGCCCGGCGCGCGGCGGCAGGGGGCCTCCGCCCCCGAGGGCGAGGCGCTCTCCGCGCCCGCGGCGCCCAGCCGCATCCCCAGGACGCCGCCCAGGCGCGCCCGCGCCTCGGGGAGCGCAGCTGGCGGGTGGCTGGCGCGCACGCCGGCGCCCCGCGGCCCAGGCTCCCCCAGCGCCCGCCCCAGCACCCAGGTGCCCGCGGGAGCGCCAGGGGGGCCGGGAGGACGAGAAGGACCAGTGAGAGGCTCGTGTCGTGCCGACGCGGCAGCGACCCCGCCGCGGGCGTTCAGGGTCGAGCGCTGCGAGCGGCCCGGGCTTGGCCAACACAGGACGCTCTGGCGATCTGAAAGCCGCCGATCGTTCCAGGTTGAGCGATGCACGCGTTGTCAGAGACCAACGCCGGGGTCGTCACGACACGAGACTGCCGTATCTACAGAAGGCAAACATGCACCACCACCAGGCCAGGCCAGGCCCGCTTCGGGCGGAATCTTGGTGTGTCTGGTCTCCGCATGCACCCGCACCCAGATTCGTGCCCCAAACGGGCCCGAGCTGGCCTGGTGGTGTTGGTTGTGTAGTTTTTGAACTTGCTTACAGGAGAAGGAGAAGGACCGCGACCGGGAGACGAGCTGGGACCGCAAGAAGGGGAAGCACCGCTCGAAGGAGAAGGACCACTGCGATTCAATGAATTCCAGCTCGGGGTCTTTGGGGGCCCTTCTTGGCCGTTTTGAGGGCCTCTTGAGTCGTCTTGGGGTCATCTTGGGCCGCGGTGGGGTCATCTTGGGCCGTCTTGAGCCATCTTGGGCCGTCCCTATCCTCAAGATACCCAGGAGGCCTAAAGCACGGATTTCCGCTGGTTTTTGTGAATTTGGAATTGAATAGGGAGCGAAAGTGAATGCAACCGGCTGAGGCGCGGGCCCTGGGGGGATGAATAAAGAGAGTTGCGTTGCAAAGAGTAATGCGACACTGTCTCGAAGTTTGGCTGATTTGACGTATCGTGGCTGGGCCCTTGTGCCACACACCCGTCTATCGAACTGTAGAGACGCTTCGCTGCAGTCTAGGCGTGGATTCCTCCCGCTTAGCGGGGTGCACGTCCAGACTGCGTCGAGCATGTGCGTTTGGGGCCTTTTGGTGGCTTTTGGGAGGTTTCTCGGGAGCCTCTTTGGGGCTTTTGGGGTGGCCTCTTGGTGGCCTTTTGGGGGCCTCTTGGGGGCGTCTCGGGCCGTCTTCAGGCGATCTTGGGCCGTCTTTGCAGTCTCTTGGGCAGTCCTGGTGGCCTCTGAGGCCGTCTTGGGGCTCTCTTGGGCCTTCATGGGCTCATCTCGGGTGCTTCTTGGGCTTCCTTGGGTTGTCTTGGGGCCCTCTTGGGGCCCTCTTGGGCAGTCTTGGGGGCCATCTTTGAGACGTATGGGACCGTCTTTAGGTGCCAGGAGTCAGACAGAAAACCCGAGAACGCGGAGACCTGTCAAAAGCAAAGGTAACATCCACCGGGGTCTCCACCTCCCTCCTCCTCTCCCGCCTCCCTTCGTCTCCCCGTCTCCCTCCTGCCGTCTGCTTTATTCCCAACCCTCCTGTGTGTTGGGTTCGCTGCTCCCTGGGTGGCTGCGAACTGCGCAACCGTGGCCGCTTTCGTGGGCTCCTGGGAGGCACGGCGGAGTCGGGGGCCACGCGCACCCAACCGAGACCTCGCTGCTTCCTGGGTGGCTGCGAACTGCGCCACGTTCGTGGGCTCCTGGGAGGCACGCCGGAGTCTGGGAGTACGCGCACCCATCCGAGACCTCGCTGCTTCCTGGGTGGCTGCGAACTGCGCAGACGTCGCCTCTTCTGTGGGCTCCTGGGAGGTCCCGCGGAGTCGGGGGCCACGCGCACCCAAACGAGACCTCGCTGCTCCCTTGGTCGCTTCGAACTGCGCAACTGTCGCTACTTCCCTGGTCGCCTGGGATGTCCAGTGGAGTCGGTGGCCACGCGCACCCATGCAAGACCTCTCTTCTCCTAGGGTGGCTACGAACTGAACAACCGTCGCCGTTGTCGTGGGCTCCTGGGAGGCACGGCGGATTCGGGGAGTACGCGGATCCAGCCGAGACCTCGCTGCTTCCTGGGTGGCTGCGAACTGCACAACCGTCGCCTCTTCTGTGGGCTCCTGGGAGGCACCGCGGAGTGGTGGAATACGCGCACCCAGCCGAGACCTCGCTGCTTCCTGGGTGACCGCGAACTGCGCAACCGTCGCCGCTTTCGTGGGCTCCTGGGAGGCACGGCGGGGTAGGGGAGTGCGTGCACCCAGTCTAAACCTCGCAGCTCCCTGGATGGTTGCGAACTGCGCAGCTGTCGCCACTTTCGTGGGCTCTTGGGAGGTCCAGAAGAGTCGGGGGCTACGCGGACCAAGCCGAGACCTCGCTGCTCCCTGTGTGGCTACGAACTGCTCGATTGTCGCGACGCCCGTGGGCTCCTGGGAGGCACGGCGGAGTAAGGGAGTACGCAGTCCAAGCTGAGACCTCTCAGCTCCCTGGGGGACTGCGGACTTCGCAAGCGTCGCCACTTTCGTGGGCTCGTGGGAGGCACGGCGAAATAGGGAAGTGCGCGCACCCAGCCGAGACCTCGCTGCTCCCTGGGTGTCTGCGAACTGCGCAACCGTCGCCACGTTCGTGGGCTCCTGGGGGGCACGGCGGAGTAGGGGAGTACGCGGGCCCAGCCGAGACCTCGGTGCTCCCTGGGTGGTTGCGAACTGCGCGGTTGTCGCTATTTTCGCTGGCTCCTGGGGGGCACGGCGGAGTAGTGGAGCACGCGCACCCAGCCATGACCTCGCAGCTCCCTGGGTGGCTGCGAACTGGGCAACCGTCGCCGCTTTCGTGGGCTCCTGGGAGGCACGGCGGAGTCTTGGGCCACGCGGATCCAGCCGAGACCTCGCAGCTGCCTGGGTGGCTGCGGATTGCGCAACCGTCGCCACATTCGTGAGCTTCTGGGGGGCACGGCGGAGATGAGGGCAGCGCTGATCGTGCATATCTAGCAAATGGTTCTGTCGTATGGAACGTTCATACAGGTATTCGCCTCTCGTTGGGAAAGGGTTGGGTACTTCTCGGGTAATTCCCCAAACAGTGCTTGCATTTAGGTTTATTACTTCTGTTCTAAGTAACTGGGTCATGTCTTCGGTCTGGCGGCTATGTGGCCGCCGTCGCCGCCCCGTCGCCGCCTCATCGCCGCCCGTCGTCTGGGCCGTGTGTTCGGTCTGTCGGCTCCGCGGCCGCTGTTGCCGCCCCTGTCGCCGCCGCGTCGCCTACCTAGATTGAACGACACATGTATATATATATATATATGTGTGTCTATATGCTGACCTCATAGAGTGTACCATAAAGATGGCACTGCGTATATCGCAACAAAACGGTTACACTAACTAGAGTGCGCCACATAGAGTACACCACAAAGCTTGCATCACTCAGACTGCACCCCATAGTTTGCTCAACATTGATTGAAGCGTACCGGTGGCACCACTTGATGCACAACATTTACTGCACCGCGTGGGATGAACACCTTGTACTGCACCACATATGCTGCATCACACAGTTGGCACCACACGTAGTGCACACCATATATCGCACCACATATGTTGCACCATTAGACTGTAGACTGCACCACGTAGCTTGCACACCATATGAGAAGACAAAGCACCACGTAGACTGCACCACGTCGTTTGCACACCATAGGCTGCACAACCTACATGGCACCACATACTTTTTTTTGATCCGCGGGTCGAGAGCGAGCCTCTTCCGATAAAAGCTAAGCGGGCCACGTACAGCTTTAATTAGCAGAGGGGGGGAAAAAGAAGGTTGGCACCACATACAGTGTACAGCATATAGCGCTAGAAACACACTGGTTGGGGTCCACGCTGATTCACGTTGTCTTAGATTTGTAATCCCCAGCCTTCCTGTGTGTTGGGCTATCGTTTTGAGTCGGGCGCTGCGGTCTCCACCTCTCTCCTCCCGCCTCTCCTCCCGTCTCCTCCTGTGCTGCTCCCTGGGTTGCTGCGGGCTGCGCAGCTGTCGTCGCTCTCCCGGGCTCCTGGGAGGCACGGCGGAGCGGGCCGGGGGAGGATGGGGTACGCGCACCCAGCCGAGATCTCGCGACTCCATGGGTGGCTGCTAAATGCGCAGTCGTCGCCACGTTGGTGGGCTCCTGGGTGGCACGGCGGAGCAGGGGAGTACGCGCGCCCGGCAGAGGCCTCGCCGCTCCTTGGGGGATTGGGAACTGCGCAACCGTCGCCACGTCCGTGGGCTCGTGGGAGGCACGGCTGCGTATGGGAGTACGCGCACCCAGTCGAGACTTCGCAGCTCCCTGAAGGACTGCGAATTGCGCAGCTGTCACCACTTTCGTCGCGGGCTCGTGGGAGGCACGGCGGAGTCGGTGAGTACGCGCACCCATTTGAGACCTCGCAGCTGCCTGGGTGCTTGCTAACTGCGCAACCGTCGCCGCTCTCGTGGGCCCCTGGGAGGTTTAACGGAGTGGATGTCCACGCGCACCCAGAGGAAACCTCGCTGCTCCCTGGGTGGCTGCGAACTGCGCAACCATCGCCACTTTCGTTGGTTCCTGGGAGGTCCAGCAAAGTGGAGGGCCGCGCGCACGCATGGGAGACCTCGCTGCTCCCTGAGATGGTGGGCACTGGGCAACCGTCACCCCGTTCGTGGGCACCACGCAACTGTTCGATTGTCGCCACTTTCGTGGGCTCCTGGGACGCACGGCAGAGTCGGGGGCCACGGGGATCCAGCCGAGACTCGCTGCTCCTTGGGAGACTACGATCTCTCAAGTGTCGCCGCTTTCGTGGGCTCATGGGAGGCACGGCGGAGGTGAAGACCGCGCTGATCGTGCATATCTGGCGATATCGCGGCGACATGTTCTTGTGTATGGAGCGTTCATGCAAATATTCGTCTCGCGTGGAGAAGGGGTTGGGTACATCTCGGGTAATTGCTAAGACGCCCTGGCATGATCATCCCCAGCCTTCCTGTGATGTGCTCATTGAAATCGAGCGCAGTGGTCTTCACCTCCTCCTCCTCCTCCTCCTCCTCCTCCTCCTCCTCCCGCCTCCCTTTTCCTCTCCGCCTTCCTCCTGCAGCCTGTCTCCTCTTCCTGCGCTGCTCCATGAACGGCCGCGAGCTGCGCAGCCGCTGCTTCTTTCGTGGGCTTCCAGGGAGGCACAGCGGGGTAGGGGAGTACGCGCACCCAGCCGAGACATCGCATCTCCCTGGGTGGCTGAGAACTGCGCAGCCGTCGCCACTTTCCTGTGCGTCTGGGAGGTCCAGCGGAGTACGGGAGTACGCGCACCCAGCCGAGACCTCGAAGCTCCCTGGATGGCTGAGAACCTCGCAACCGTGGCCACTTTCGTGGGCTCCTGGGAGTTCCAGCGGAGTCCGGGGCCACGCGGACCCATTCGGTACCTCGCTGGCCCCTAGGAGACTGCGAACTGCGCAACCATCCCCACTTTCGTGGGTTCCTGGGAGGTCCAGCGGGGTCGGGGGCCATGCGCACCCCTTTGAGACCTCGCTGCTCCCTCGGATGCTGCGAACTGCGCGACCGTCGCCACTTTCGTGGGCTCCTGGGAGATCCAGCGGAGTCGGGGGCCACGTGGATCCAGCCGAGACCCCGCGGCTCCCTGGGAAGCTACAGACTGCGCAACCATCGCC